AGAGTTAACTGACTATCAAAGTCCAGTTTCCGCCCTTGCCGAAGTAGGCTGGAATTTTGGAGTTATATTTTGGCTGGACTGACGAGTGTATGCATAGTCCAAATTCGCGTAACGTAATCAACACCCGGTTAATAAACAACATGGCGACTGCCGTGCAGATTTCGGTCAATTGCAGGCTTTGCAGAGCATGTGTACAGTGAACTGGGCGTCGACAGATATTTTCCAAAACTGTTCATGTTTTTAATCACAGTGCATACGTGATATGATGCACTTAGCGACCCGTTGTTTAAAAATATAGTTTTACAATCTTGATTATCGATCCGATCGTCTTGACTGGGCGCCGCCATTTTGTTTGAAGCAAATGGATGTGATATGAGAGGTGGAATCAGATTGGTCAATAGAAGGGACATAGAAGGGAAATAACTTGTAATAGCCACTGGTCGATCGGTCGATCCCAGAAATCCCAGCCTAGTTCGGCAAGGGTGGAAACTGGACCTTTGCAGTCAGTTAATAATTAATAGTACGCTTTACTCGTTGGGTAAACTGTGACGACACGCAGGGTGACAAAGCATCAATAATCTAGCCCCGTCTCTGGAGCTTGTTGTTTAACGCTGCTACCAGAAATATTCCAGCTGTATGAACAGACAATCCAGAGATTGATACGATGTCAACGAGCTTGACCACCCGATCCGCTTAGCCGAATCTTACCTCAAGCTTAGATTCGAACCCGGAATCCCCACGTGGGTGGTCTCTTCAGTTGTACCTGAAATACGCGCATCCACCTCAGGTTAAAAGGGCTTCTAACATTCAATAATCCGTCACAAGGGATATATTTTACATGACAGCGAGTGGGGACATCACACACAGGTTTCATACCTTCCGCCATCATGGGAATCGAACCTTTGGTCCTCGACGTGGCACTGAACGCTCCAACCACAGTACTTCCCATCCCATTCGCCAGATAACAGTTTTCGTCAGTTCCCCTCTCCACGTGGCCCAAATTAATGAGTGAGTGCGGTTTTATGCCGCTTTCAGAAATATTCCCGCCCTATCAAGCCAGGGAACACCACGTTTTGGAATGTCACACTTATCCCATGTGGAGAAACGAACCTCAGCATTGGAAGTGACGAGCAAACGCTTTATCAACAAGGTTGTTCCACCCTTGGTACGAAAGAAGCACTGAATTCACTAGAACACTCAGACTCCAATTTATGTGCAATGACTTTAAGATATGTATGTGTGATTGACCCTGACACAACATCAGGCTAAAATGATTGCGTGGAAGTGTGCAGAACATAAAAGTCCAAACGGAAGAGTTCAAGGCGGAGGTTTTGTTGTTGTGTTTGCTCCTTCACGTCATCCGCGGCTTGCATCCCAACATGATAACACAGCGCCCACACACAGCACAGTGAGTCAATGGCTTTTGTGTCGGAATTGAAGCATCCGGGTACTGCCTTGACCTGCTCAAAGACCTGACCTCAACCCCATTGACCATCGGTGGGATGAGATTGTAGGTCGTGTACGCCAACATTATCGGTACCTCACCATCTGGACCAACTCTTAGCAGCACTGCCACTCAGATCACGAGGTCAGGTAGTTGTCTGGGGACAAGGGAGTCACACGCGTTATAAACATTCAATCCAGTGTCACAAACACACACACACACACACACACACACACACACACACACACACACACACACACACACACACACACACACACACACACACACAAGTTCGGCATTAAGGGGTTTAAACAAGGTCTGACCGACTCGGAGTCACAGTATACTGAGAGCGGTATCCATGTTAAACTGCCACATGGTATCTCAGTGGGCTAGCTCAATACAACCGGACTAGTACTTAAGCAGCCACACACGCCGCGACGTTAAACCGCGACGTTAAACTGCGACGTTAAACCCAATTTAACCTAGCCTCATCCATAACGCTTAGCCTGAACACTATTTACTGACGACGCACGTGCTTATTGTGAGTTATCGTCGTTATCCCTTTCGAGTGTACCTCTGTGGTACACGTCGAGGCATGTCTGGTAATGAGTCGATTGGAGGAGAGGGGGGTGGGGGTGGTGGGGGTGGTGGGGGGGTGGGGTGGGGGGGTGGGGGGTGGTGGAGGGTAAAGACCATTGAACATAAAATTCAATCGAGTATAGTAAAGACATGCTGACACCATAATTTTGTATCATCAGAAGTTAAACTCTGAAAGGGGGTTACTTAAACGGAAAATTCTAACTTCTGATTCTAAATTCTTAATACCAGGTACACTTATTCAGGAACTTTAATTTGGACCTCAGGGTAATTCATATAGTACATGCATACCGCTGACCTCATTCAAACAGGTACACTGGCTTGAAGGTAATGACGTCTTACAAAGATACAATGGAATCACATGGTACATATCGCTTACCTCTTTGATAAAACGCTGCAACCACTGGTTACCTGCACACTGCTGACCTCATCCCAACACAATCTTGAATCTCACATCAACGTAGTGATGTTGTCTTTAATTGACTTATCTACCAAGTCTGGAATCAGCCATCTGTTTCATATCAGGATCTGAAACTGTTCTAATGGGAGTGACGTTGCAACACTGTGACCAGTGGAGTCATTCCAGGCCACGTCCAGTTCTCCATGGAGATTCTGTATCGGCGATGGTACCCCATGGTAACATATAGGCTTTTTTTTGTAGTAGGTACTCCTACTGAGCAGTGTATACACCGGCCGATAACAGACATACTTTATGTGGCGTATATCCCACGTATGACAATTTGACGTCACAATGCGTGTCCGTCATTATGAATAGTAATACAGTTATAATTAATACAGTAATTAAGACGTCATATTGTTTGTTCGTCATCACTTATAGCAAAATGACATAGTACTGGTTCATCACCAGTTAAGCAGTATACGACATAAAGGCGTTCGTCATCCCATGTAGTAAATATGACGTCATACTGCTGATTCGCTATGCTTTCAGCAAAGAGGCATATAACGTTACCAGTAAAGAGCCGGGTTAGAACTGATCTTAAGCGGCCAATTCTTGTCGTATGAGGCGACTACTGGGATCGGGTGGTCAGGCTCGCTGGCCCGATTGATGCACGTCGCCGTATCCCAATTGCATAGATCGATGCTCATGATGTCAATCATTCGGCGGTCAACAACAATGAAACAAACGAACAAAGCATATAGCGTCGTCAGTTGTCGGCAGCTTGGAGCCTTTGGTCTGGTCTACATTTGAGGTCACATGGGCAAATATACGTATCGTAATGCACAGCAAATAACGTGGAGCTTGAGTGATCCCGTGAAATGACTGCTTCTTTCCTATCAGGAGTGGTGGGATAGCCTAGTGGTGACAGCGTTTGCTTGTCACAAATGCCGGGTTCGATTCCTCTTTTGGGTAGAAAATAAGAATCCCATTTTTATGTGCTATGGCTCGAATATACTCACTCATCCATACAATATGGCCACGAACTAACGAACATGACATGGTTGGTACAGTGGTTGGATCGTTCACTATAGCTAATGGAGACTAATGGTTCGATTCTCATCATGGGTGCAAGGTTTGAAACCTGTTTGGTGTTCCCATTCACTGTAAAATCACATATATCATTAGAGACAGCAGTGTAGGAATTCAGAATTGGAATTGGCCCAAATAACGTTTGCTGGTTGTAAGAAGTGACCACGGACCATAGGTCCGTGAAGTGACTAAATGTATCGGGTGGTCAGGCTTTGTGGTATGGTGACATTGGATGGTGCTCATTGTATCAATCACTGGTTTGTCGAAAACATTACACACCGGTATCATATGCATTGTAGCTGGGACATTGCTGACCTTGGGGTTAATCAACAACCTCTAGAGACGGAGGCTACATTTGTGATGCTCTGTCACCCTGTGTGTCGTCACGGTATACGCTGCGAATACAGTGTGTGAGTGAGTATGGTTTTAAATTAGTAATATTTCAGCAATATTCCAGCAATATCACGGCGGGGGATATCAGAAATGGGCTTCACACATTGTACCAATGTGGGGAATCGAACTCGGGTCCTCGGCGTGACGAGCGAACGCCCTAACCACTTGGCTACCCCACCGCCCCTCTCAGCGAATAAAGTGTTCAAGCGACGGATGGTACAGAGAGAAGGCACGAACATTGGACAATAACGACTTGGGATATTCTGTTTGTTGGATGAGAGAAATTGACGTCACATTATCCAAAACAGCAGCATTATATATCATCAGCACATATAAAATCTGATGACTGTCAAATAGAATCTTCATGTATGATGCTAAGACGGCTCATGTATGGTGTTAGGATATCCCATCTGTTTAGGGTCAAACGACATTGTCATGTATGGTACTGGGACGAAGCATATGCTTTGGGGTCAAACAACATTGTGATGTATGATCTGGGACGAACCATCTGTTTTGGGGGTCACACGACATCGATATGTAAGGTGTCAGGACTCCCTATCTGGTACTCATCTGGGTTGGGCCAAACGGTATTTCCATGTAAGATGCTATGACGAATCACCCGAGACTCCCCAAACGGCATCTTCATGTTTTGTTTGTTTGTTTGTTTGTTGTTAAACGCCGCCCTCAGCAATATTCCAGATACTAGTATATGACGGCGGTCAGTAAATTTTCGCAATTGTGATACGATGACATGCATCAACCAAGTCAGCGAGCCTGACCACCCGATCCCGTTAGTCGCCTCTTACGACAAGCATAGTCACTTTTACGGCAAGAATGGGTTGCTGAAGACCTATTCTACCCCGGATCTTCACGGGTCGCATTTCATGTACAATGCCATGACAACCTGTCTGATGGCACCAACCGGCATCTATAGGTATGTGGCATGTAACTGGCTAATTCTACGATACGTCTGATGCATCTGATCTCAAGAGGCTCCAGAATGATGTCTTCTCATCATGCCTCAAAGATCTTATCAAGTCTGTAACGTGTTCCTAGTCTTTGTCGCAGTGTCGGGTTTATCTCCCTTTCTCCCCAGAGTCTCAAATATGTCGTAAGAGTCAATGTAGATAACCAACTATTGTCCTTTGTTGTAATAGCAAGAGCAGCGATTCCCCAACTTCAGGAGCGATTAGGATACGTCTCCACCTCGAGCCGTAACCGAGGGAAGTTTGGTTCCAGTGCCCGAGGGGTGGTCTCGCCACAACACACGGCACCATTGTCTACGACTCTCGTCTCAGAAACACCAACCTCGCCACTACTGATCTCCAGTCGGTCAGCTTCCCGCCAAATCTGCCTCCGAGCAGACGACCTGCTTACCTCGAGTGTGGTACGTGCCGTGGTTCAAGTAGAGATAGAAAGAACAGTTTGGATGTCGCCAGCAGCAGCAACAGCGGCCACAATCGCGGATAAACGGTCCAGTGTTAGCGATCTCGCCATCAGCTTGTAGCAGATTCATGGGGAATATAAAGTCCACACCAGCGCAACACTGCGAGAACGCTGTTCACCTACCGACGAGGACCGCCGTCTAGGACACTCCGCTCAGGTAAGACATGATAATTAGTCCTTCAGGTAAATATTTGACAACATATTTAAGATTTAAATAGATTTAAGTCTTATTTAATGTTATATATTAACTAACACTGACAGTTATACATTACTCTATGAAATTTACGTATAAGAAAAAGTGTATATATATATATATATATATTCCTCGAAAATTATTTGATGGCAAAATACCAAGAATGTCACTGGCCCAAATGGATCGTAATATCAAAGTAAGAAGGATTTTCACAAGGTGTACATAATATTGTTATCTTAATGAGTTAGCAAACAGACGAGCCCACATTGGTGACACACGGGGATTTATTTGAGTCTCACTCTATATACATATTTGAAAAAACAATCCATACTACATATTATTTTGTGATACTTTCCTATGGAATTACGCGAGACTATTAATGAGTAAAGTTATGTAAAATATAAAACCGGTTTTAGCTAAAAACATTTGCAGATTATCCCTAAATATTTAACAAATAATGTTCTTAAAGTGGCAAACTGTGCAATGATGGGTCCATGTACAATGCATGTTGTAAACTGTTAAAACGTAGATGGTAAATAATTGGACTTCACGTTAAAAAATGCACTAGGTCCTCTTAACACTGTCACTGCACGGAGCCTGAGGATTGTGGATGTAACTTATGAGCGCAAGCCTGTGTTGACGACAGCTGGGAACTCCGCGACTCGCCGCCCGCGACAGATAGCAGCGACATCTACACCACATGCACCACTAATTACACTACGTATTGTCTTGACACACTCCCGAGTCGTCTGCTTGAACTTGCAGGATTATCAGACGTGTCGCTTTGATATAGCACGTGCGCCTGGCGTTCTTGTTATTGGAAATCTGGGTCAGTTGATAGAAATATTTTCCTTTTGCAGAATGTGTTTATTTGATTTAAGGTCGCATGCTGATGAAACGACTGGATTGTTTAAGTGAATTATTTTTCACGAGCGCTATTTTCAAGGCGTCGAAATTGAAACACATGACAAGGGAATGTTTCACCGTGTTACGGTGTGGAAGTATTTACTGCTTTTTGTTTGCTGTGTCTCAGTGCATTAATTCTGACATGCAACTGCATTTAAATCAGGCGAATCTGCGCATACATACACGTACTTCCTGTGTTTGTGATCGCCTTGAAAATGCGCGGAACTGTTTACAATCACGCAATGAACCAAGCGTCATTCCCCATTATTCAAGTCTTTCTGCACAATCACCTCACACAATCCCCTCACACAATCCCCTCACAGTCACCTCACACAACCCACTCAAACCATCCTCTCACACAATCCTCTCACACAATCCCCTCACACAATCCCCTCACACAGTCACCTCACACAACCCACTCAAACCATCCTCTCACACAATCCCCTCACACAAACCCCTCACGCAATCCCCTCACGCAATCCTCTCACACAGTCACCTCACACAACCCCCACAAACCATCCTTTCACACAATTACCTCACACAATCCTCTCACACAATACCCTCACACAATACCCTCACGCAATTCCCTCACACAATCCTCTCACACATTCGATTCCCGACATGGGTACAATGTGTGAAGCCCATTTCTGGTGTCCCCCGCCGTGATATTGCTGGAATATTGCTTAAAGCGGCGTAAAACCATACTCACTCACTCACTCACTCAATCATCTCACACAATCCTCAAACGCAATCACCTCACGCAATCACCTCGCACAACCCTCTCGCACAATCCCCTCACACAACCCTCTCGCACAATCCCCTCACACAATCCGCTCACAAAATCCCCTCACTCAATCCCCTCGCACAATCCCCTCACACAGTCCCCTCACACAATCCTCACACGCAATCCCCTCACGCAATCCCCTCGCACAACCCTCTCGCACAATCCCCTCACACAATCCCCTCACGCAATCCACTCACACAATCCCCTCACGCAATCCCCCAACACAATCTCCACAGTGGCTGGTCGAAGGAAGCTGTGTCTGTCTGTGTATGTCGATATCTGTGTGCGTGCGTGCGTGCGTGCGTGCGTGCGTCCTTTTACTAAGCATTGGGCTTACACGGCCGTCGTCTCCCCAGTTGTTACATATATTCAAACCAGAAAATGGCATGCCGATCAGTTCATGTTGTCAAAGTGCTGGGATATTTGGTTGAAGTGGCACTTCAATACATGCAATTTATTCCCCGAAAGAACCCAAACAATTGCTCTTTACCAAAACACATTATTTTTCTGAAATACGAGCATGTACATATTTTTTTGTACAAACTAATTTCAAAGTATTGGGATTCATAACTCCGTCTCACCCCACGAAGAAGTTCTGTGTTGTACCAGGGTAGTTAAAACTACGGGTTGTGTTGTGATGGGGGAAGTCACAAGCTCGGGATATTCGTGGTTAGTGTTGTAACAGGGTCAATGTTGTACCCAGGGTAGCTGTATACCAGGGATAGTGCTGTTACCAGGGGTAGCTATATACCAGGAGTAGTATTGTACCCAGGTATCTATGTACCAGGAGTAGTATTGTACCCAGGTAGCTATGTACCAGGAGTAGTATTGTACCCAGGGTAGCTATGTACCAGGAGTAGTATTGTACCCAGGTAGCTATATACCAGGAGTAGTATTGTACCCAAGGTAGCTATATACCAGGAGTAGTATTGTACCCAGGGTAGCTATGTACCAGGAGTAGTATTGTACCCAGGGTATCTATATACCAGGAGTAGTATTGTACCCAGGGTAGCTATGTACCAGGAGTAGTATTGTACCAAGGGTATCTATATACCAGGAGTAGTATTGTACCCAGGTAGCTATGTACCAGGAGTAGTATTGTACCCAGGGTATCCATGTACCAGGAGTAGTATTGTACCCAGGTATCTATATACCAGGAGTAGTATTGTACCCAGGTAGCTATGTACCAGGAGTAGTATTGTACCCAGGTAGCTATGTACCAGGAGTAGTATTGTACCCAGGGTATCTATATACCAGGAGTAGTATTGTACCCAGGTAGCTTTATACCAGGAGTAGTATTGTACCCAGGTAGCTATGTACCAGGAGTAGTATTGTACCCAGGGTATCTATATACCAGGAGTAGTATTGTACCCAGGGTACCTATGTACCAGGAGTAGTATTGTACCAAGGGTATCTATATACCAGGAGTAGTATTGTACCCAGGTAGCTATGTACCAGGAGTAGTATTGTACCCAGGGTAGCTATGTACCAGGAGTAGTATTGTACCCAGGTATCTATATACCAGGAGTAGTATTGTATCCAGGTAGCTATGTACCAGGAGTAGTATTGTACCAGGTAGCTATGTACCAGGAGTAGTATTGTACCCAGGGTATCTATATACCAGGAGTAGTATTGTACCCAGGGTAGCTATGTACCAGGAGTAGTATTGTACCAAGGGTATCTATATACCAGGAGTAGTATTGTACCCAGGGTAGCTATGTACCAGGAGTAGTATTGTACCAAGGGTATCTATATACCAGGAGTAGTATTGTACCCAGGGTATCCATGTACCAGGAGTAGTATTGTACCCAGGTAGCTATGTACCTGGAGTAGTATTGTACCCAGGTATCTATATACCAGGGATAGTGCTGTAACAAGGGGTAGCTATGTACCAGGAGTAGTATTGTACCCAGGGTAGCTATATACCAGGAGTAGTATGGTACCCAGGAAGCCATGTACCAGGAGTAGTATTGTACCCAGGTAGCTATGTACCAGGAGTAGTATTGTACCCAGGAAGCCATGTACCAGGAGTAGTATTGTACCCAGGGTAGCTATGTACCAGGAGTAGTATTGTACCCAGGTAGCTATATACCAGGAATAGTATTGTACCCAGGGTATCTATGTACCAGGAGTAGTATTGTACCCAGGGTGGCTATGTACCAGGAGTAGTATTGTACCCAGGGTATCTATGTACCAGAAGAAGTATTGTACCCAGGGTAGCTATGTACCAGGAGTAGTATGGTACCCAGGTATCTATGTACCAGAAGTAGTATTGTACCCAGGGTATCTATATACCAGGAGTAATATTGTACCCAGGTATCTATGTACCAGGAGTAGTATTGTACCCAGGGTATCTATATACAAGGAGTAGTATTGTACCCAGGGTATCTATATACAAGGAGTAGTATTGTACCAAGGTATCTATGTACCAGGAGTAGTATTGTACCCAGGGTATCTGTGTACCAGGAGTAGTATTGTACCCAGGGTAGCTATGTACCTGGGCTAGTATTGTACCCAGGGTAGCTATGTACCAGGAGTAGTATTGTACCCAGGGTAGCTATGTACCAGGAGTAGTATTGTACCAAGGGTAGCTATGTCCCAGGAGTAGTATTGTACCCAGGGTAGCTATGTACCAGGAGTAGTATTGTACCCAGGTAGCTATATACCAGGAATAGTATTGTACCCAGGGTATCTATGTACCAGGAGTAGTATTGTACCCAGGGTGGCTATGTACCAGGAGTAGTATTGTACCCAGGGTATCTATGTACCAGAAGAAGTATTGTACCCAGGGTAGCTATGTACCAGGAGTAGTATGGTACCCAGGTATCTATGTACCAGAAGTAGTATTGTACCCAAGGTATCTATATACCAGGAGTAATATTGTACCCAGGTATCTATGTACCAGGAGTAGTATTGTACCCAGGGTATCTATATACAAGGAGTAGTATTGTACCCAGGGTATCTATATACAAGGAGTAGTATTGTACCAAGGTATCTATGTACCAGGAGTAGTATTGTACCCAGGGTATCTGTGTACCAGGAGTAGTATTGTACCCAGGGTAGCTATGTACCTGGGCTAGTATTGTACCCAGGGTAGCTATGTACCAGGAGTAGTATTGTACCCAGGGTAGCTATGTACCAGGAGTAGTATTGTACCAAGGGTAGCTATGTCCCAGGAGTAGTATTGTACCCAGGGTATCTATGTACCAGGAGTAGTATTGTACCCAGGGTAGCTATGTACCAGGGCTAGTATTGTACCCAGGGTAGCTATGTA